CTTTTTTGCAAAACGAGATAGACTCCTCCACATATTTGTTTTGTATACCGTAAAAGCATTTTTAAAATTACGATTTGGCTTCCATTTAAACACTCTCTTAGAGATAGATTAGAGTAATCAATATCTGGGAATACACATTTATCATTCTCATGCGTGATTTTCAATTAGTAATATTTGAAATGGTATGTTATGATAACTTTTTTTTAAAAAAAACAAAAGAATCTTCAATTGTGCTGAAGAATAACAATAAAAAAAAAAATCAACCGTGGGAAAATAAATCAGATTTTTAGGTTTTGGGTCTAAGCAGTATTATCAGCATGGGCTATTATTGGGCCGAGATGGTTAACCCATTAGAGATTGGCCCTTGGGGCCGTGAACTGGGCTTAGTCTTTTTAGCCAGAGTTAAGTGGGCTTATTCAAATGTCCAAAAAGTGAAATAAATGGGCCTATAACGCAAAAATATCAGCGCATTTGTTACTCTCAAACTTGAATATATTTACATGTAACATACTAACGAAGTTAGGTTTAGCAGAAAAGACTAGTTTTTTATAGTATGGTGAATTAAGGTTTAACTCTTTATTTGGAGAGGTGCTCACATTTAGTGTACGACAGTGCCTCGAACAGGATTCTCTAATAGGAGGATACCTATGTTTTAGCCCAAAAAAAAATTATTTACATAAAACTTAGAACTGGTAATATGGGTTGAACTTGTGAGTCCAACTTGTCAACTTGCGAGTCCAACCTGTCAACTTGCCAAAAATAACAGGTTAGGATTGATCAAAAGCCAACCTGTAGTAAACAAGCCTTTTTAATCCACACCGCCAAGCCCGCAACTCGTCGCGAGTTAGCCTACCAACCCGCAAGCTAACCTACGTTTATTTATTATTTATTATTTAAAATTTTTAATTATTATAATTATATTATTATATATTATATCCTATCTAAAAATTTTAAAAAATACTTATATAATTTATTTGATGCTTTCAATTAGATATTTCAAGGAAAAACAAAAAATTTATTATTATTTTTGGACATTATATAAAAAAATATTAAAAAGTAAAAGAAAATTTCCCCAAAAAAAAGTGATGGGCCAATCCTCCAACCCGCCTTGTTGGGTTAAGGTTCCACCGAGCCTTTTCAGTCCAAGCCGTCACGGGCTCAACTAGCCACGGTTGCGGGTTGGCTCATATTACCAACATTATATAACATAAAATCTCTAACATAAAAACAGAATTGGGTTTAGGAGATGAGGTTAGTCCCTCATAACATGGTGAACCAAAATTCAAATCCCTGTTAAGAGATATGCTCACATGTAGTGCCTGACAGTACCTTGAATAAGATTGTCTTTAATAGAAAGATACTTTTTTTAAAAAAAATTACATGTAACATAAAATCTCTAACAATTCACACTTGGTTATGAGTTTTTGACAAAAGAGAATTATAACTTTGGTGAAACTCTTTTTTTTTTTAATTAAAATTCCGTAGTACATGGGACTCACCTATTAGAATATAAAACCCCGAAACATTTATTATAGCTGACCTCCAATAATGTATTTCGGTAAGCCTATGCAATGCAATTCTTGAATTTCTGCAATTTTAGACATTAGTAATATAGCAAAAAGTTGAAAAATGCTAAAAACAAAATGTGTCCCATTATTTATTGATAAATGCTTGAAAAATAAGCATCCTCATCCAGCATGCATGCTATCACTTTCAAACACACAAAAATAACAAGAAAGCTTAGCTTTGAACCTAAGCAATGAAAATCACCCCTGAAAATTATGTGCATCTCTCTCCTCATTTCTTTTCTACTCTTGTATCTCTTTCTCATTCTTCTTCTTCTTTCTTACTAGTGCACATTTGTTTTTTAACTGAGGTAAAAAGAACTAAACGTGAAAATTATTCTCAAAGCAAGCAAACTTGAACGTTAATTTGTTGTGTTGTGAACAGCTAACACATTTCAATAGGCCCATCTCTATCAGTACCCCCATGTATCTTCCACTCTGTGGTCATCTTTGCGTGGGGAGATTTAAAGCAAGGAACAAAAAACCGGACCGGGTATTAAACCGGTTGAGACAGTGGGTCAAGGGTTACTGGTCGGACCGAGGTCGGACCGGGGTCGGACCGGTCATATTAAAATAAAATAATTTAATTCATAATATTATGTATCTTGTTGATAAAAATGCAACCAGTAAAGGATATACTCCTCATCAATTGAATACGATGTATCTTGTTGACTCCATCTTAAAACTTTAAAAGTACTATCAATTGTGATTGAGGGGGGGCAGAAGCAAGAACGGTGAATGCTGTTTATAAGCTTATTTGTTGCGATGCCTTAACATTAATTTACTTACAGTTCCAAATTCCAATGCAAGGCAAGTATATTTTTGCCATAAATCATATCCTCTATCTCTCAACTAAAGATTTTTCTCTTGTTAAAATTAAAAACGAAAAAAAGATACTTTTCCTAGGTACAATCTTTACATACGCAGCAGCGTAGGAAATAACCGGTTATCTCCTCCCTTCCCAAACCTTTCGTTCAACAGCAAAAGAGAAAGAAGGCACAATCCAGCTGAAAGGGAAAATATTTGAGCTTACCCACACACAACTTAATGCATCGAAGACGAAGGGAACGCTAACTTGCGATGAAGCGATTTTGGGGCTTAGACCTGCGGCAACTTGCGATGATTGCGATTTTGCATTTTGGGGCTCAGACCCTCAGACTTACGAGCTTAGATGTTGAGGGAGACCGGAGATCAGACTTGCGAGATTGCGATTTTGGAGCTCTGCCGAACAAGGAGCTCTGCCGGAGATCGCCGTGCTGTCAGTGACGCCAGGGAGCAAGGATTTTGGAGGAGGTGATTTTGGTTTTAGGGAGGGAAGCGAGATGCTATTTTGCGAGCCAGAGGAAATGGGGAATCAGATATTCAGATTCGGGGGAGGGAAATAGGGGGAAGTCGACGGGAAAGGGAATTAGGAAAGGAAGAAGGAATTTTTTTTTTAAAACGGAACCTGCTGACCCAGTGAACCGGGATTACCCGGTTTTGTACCGGTTATGACCGGTTCAACCGGTTCTTTACCGGTTCGATAGGATCCCGGTTCAACTCCTTAACCAGACCGGACTGCAGACCGGTTCACCGGTTTTCCGGTCGAACCGGCCGGTCCGGTCCGGTTTTTTTTCCCTTGATTTAAAGTGCAAGTTTTGAAGTCAATGGGATTTGAACACTTGTCGACCAAAACGCCAGAAAAAAAAAAACTGAATAAAATGTTCTTTTGTGCAATATTAAGGTTAACCGGGAAAAAAGGGAAAGACAAGTTGGAAGTTGGAAGGAGCAGCCTATTTATAACACAAATAATGAAAACAAAGGTTGCTGTGACAGCACTATTTTCATGGCTCATGTTCTGTGTCTCATGAGCATACAAATTTGTTTCTTTCAGGACATCATCCTTCAGACACGTAATTCATTCAACTGTACTATTGGACGCAGACTAAGACTTGTTAACAGCTTCACATTTAATTTATTGTCCAAAAAAATCAAAGTAAGAGAAAAAAAGTGAATGTGGTATTGGTGGTACTCCTATTTTTTTATGTCATATATTTATTTATTTTTTAAGACCAAAATATTCACTTTATTTTTAATTTTCTGTAAAGTTTCAGTTTGGTTTCTTAATTTTAAAAAGTATATTTTTGATCTTTTAACCATAAAATTATTAGTCTTAAATGATGTTTTTTTTATAACAATCATAGTTATTTTGAAAATTAAACTTAATATTTTAGTATTTAGTAATATTTTATCAATATTTAAAAGCTTAGTATCATAATTTTTTGTTAACAGTTTTAGGACTTGAGACTAAAAATTTACTTTTTAAATTTAAAGTACCAAAATAAAACTTGTGTAAAGTTAAAATATTAAAAGTATACTTTAGTCCTTTTCAATTAAAATAATATTTATAGTTATTGCACATGTTAAAAGTTTCACTAAAGAGTAGTTTCAATATATATAATTAATAAAAATATTTTAAAATAAATAATACCAATTTATTATAAACAATCAATTTAGCTAACATCTATAAGTTAATTATGCATGTTATTTTCGGAGGTAGGATTATAGTTTGATTGGGTCAAAGGAATGAATGAGGTGAGAAAAGAGGGAAATAAAGGCAGGGTCCAAACGACAGCCCTATGACCCGACAAAACCTGACTATTCAAAAAGCTCAAAAGACAAAAACTGCACCCCCATCATGTCTCCACATTTTCCTCTCTCACCCAAATTCCCTTCCTTCTCACCAAAAAAAAAAAATCACATAACCTCCAATTTTAAATCAAAATAATTCATTGTAAAAAATTATATATATGAATAATTTCGATGGTCATTTTAATTTAAAATACCGAAATTTCGTCTTCGATTGATTATATATTGTATGCAAAGTAGCGTAGGGAAAAGGCAAAAAAGGGGAATGAAGAACAGAAAGAATGCCCTAATATTCACGCCATGTTGACGGACTCACATTCAAACAAAGAGATCCTTCTCCTTCCTTCCTTCCTTCCTTCCTTCCTTTATCTCTTCAATAGCTTTCTACTTCATGGGGACCATCATTTCTTCACTTCCTCAACTTTCTTTTGCTTTCTTTCTCTCCCAAATCTTAATCCTCCATTTCTTCACACTTATCATATACTACCTCCTGTCCTAATTTTAAAACTCATTTGACTTATTTAAAGAGATTAAGGAAGTAAGTTAAGTTAGTTATTTGTAATAAATAAGTATTGTCATTTCTAAAATATCCTTACTAATTAAGTATATTGGCTAGAACTATCATTATTAGAAGGATTATTTTGGAAAAAAATACATAAATATGAAAGACAATATAGATTGGGGTCTTATAATTAGAACCAAACAAAAAATCAAACGGGATCTTATAATAAGAATATGAGGTAGTACTTTTAATAACAATACTTTATATATAATATTTACATGTCATGCATCAAAGTTCAGAGAATATGAGGAAAAAGAAGGAGGGGGATAGGCTCTGCAGGAAAACACCTAAAAAGTAACGCTCACTACTCTCTCTCTCTCCCCCTCTCTCTTTGACCACTCCTTCTTCTTAATCTCATGCTTTTCTCTCAACTGCTCTTGCATCTAATTAGTTTTATGATGCTACGTATCTCTCATTAATTGAATTTGGAATTGTCATTTCCACTTTAGCACTACCTCTGCATGTGTCCTTTTCTCGTATGTTTATAACCAAACTCATGTTAATGTTATCTTGAGCTTTATCTTCCCACATGCTGACATTATATTTATGACATCGTTCATACCATAAAATACATTTGGAAATAGTAATCCTGCGTGAAAATGTTTAATCTCCCAAGTCTTAATTAAATTTGAGCTCAACACCCCACTTTAAATGTCATTATTTGGTCCTACTTTAAAGTGACACAAATGTTTTATAAAATTTAGAGCAGGGGCTATCCTATTTATAAATTATGAGATTTGATTCATTAGACTTTGGAGAATAAACAAGTATCAACTTCCTTGATCTTCTGCCTGTTCATGAGCAATTATTTTACTTAACCAAATATAAAACAAAGTTAGTGTGAATCACATTCAAGGCATACTGTTTATTATGAATTTATGATAAAATAATGGGTTGCTTTTCAAAATTTTTTAATTATGTGTATAGATGCATATATTAAAATTTTATATGAATGTATGTTCGCAGAAAGTACAAGCAGAGGCTTGCTTGATCTTAGGGTCAACCTGACCTCTCTCTCTCTCTCTGTGTGATGAGTTTGAACTTTGAAGGCTTGAAATTTCCTTCAAGATTTAACTATCATTCAAACATCGCTCTCTCTTTTTGCTCCTTGACTTTGATCTTACAATATCTCCTTTTCCATTTTAGTTTTTACTGTGAAGCGTCTTACCGAAACTCTCTCTCTCTCTCTCTCTCTATATATATATATATATTCATGTATTTATATGTATATGCTTTGCTAACTTATACGACTGTCCCCTCTCACTTTTGTTCGCCGTCTGTCTCGTGCTCTGTTTTCCTCTCTTCCTCTCTCGCTCATAGGAGCGGAGCCGAAGACATTCGCAGTTTCTGATTCATCCCTCTCAGGGCTCAAATTTTCGCTCCATGTCAAAAAATAGCAAAAGGGTGTGTTTCAGTCCTGATGTCAACGAGAAATCAACCGTCTTTCTCAAGCACGATGGCGACGGTGGCAGGTTGTCGCCGGTGAGCTTTTTGCTGCGGCTAGGAGAGACGATGATGGCGGGAGCTATGAAGGTTGTTTCTATAAGAAGAAGATCTTCAAGAAAGGTGTCTTCTTCCACCATGGTTAGGTCACGTTCCTTATCTGCAGGCTCTTCTGATTCTCATCGAGCTGAAGCTGTTGAAGATTGTATCGAGTTCTTGCATTCTTCTTCTTCTAGAGAGAGACCCAGTTGAGAATCTATTATATGTTATCCCAGAAACATGATATGGCGTGAAAAAAAAAATAATATTGTGTTTCGATGTAATCTGAGGATTGTCTTGTTTTTGTTTCTGAAGAATTAGTCCTGCGTTGGTCGTTCTGTAGAATTTGAAGAGATGCTCGTCTGATTTTTGATGAATTTGTTCATGAAATGAGTAAGAAACTAGTTAGATAGAATTGCAAATTGCAATCTCTTATTGATTAGAGTTCTCTGAGAGTCAATCTAATTCGCCACCATATTTTTGGTATGATTTCCATTTTTTCTGTTCTTTTTTCGTCTGCCATTTCATCTGTATTTGACCAGTGACTAACTGTTAACAATTAATTAGAATTTGAACTGCAACAAAAGGAGGAGCTGGACAGAGGCTTGTACCACGTAATTTTTTAGTTTTGGAAGAAGGTAGGTTCAGAAGATGAAAGGAAAAAAAAAATGTTTCCTTAACGTCAACAAAATAAAAAGAGATACCTAGGATTTACGTTGATTTGCAGTATCATTTCAAAATTACTTGCTAATTCAACCATGTCCACTAGATTGCCCAAAAGAGGTTGGAAATCAGTAATGATGTTTAGCATCCATGACTTACTGACTACGTATTATAATTTTAATCCATCAGAAAATTATAAACTTTTATCTATCTTAATCATTCAGTCATAGAAGGTAACCATTCTAGAATGATCATGCTCCAAAATCTTGATAAAACTGAATTTCCAGAGGATATATAATATTTTTGATTTTTTAATAATATTGACTCAAAAGAATCTGTTCATTTAAAAAACTTTGTTTGGCAACAATGAAGTTTCAGTCTTCCACAACGTTGAACTGTGAGTTCACTTTTTTAAAAATCATATAGTGCCACTTAGTTTAATGCAATGCAATCTCTGAAAAAGTTGCAGAAGAAAATGCAACTAATGAAACCACTCGGCAATTTTAACAGGGAAGAATCAAGATTCTGAAAACTCAAGCATGATCCATCATTACAACACACAGTTCTAAAGCAAAAGCGTTCTCGAGTACCAAGGCCTCCTCTACGTATAATTGAACATGTCAGACTCGCAGTCATATTCTGAAATATCAAGCACTATAAAGTAATATTTTTATGGTAATAATGTATTCTGTATTTAAAAGATTCTATGCAGGATATCTCACTTTTTTTGTTTTAGTAATTCTTTATTTTTTTTTTAATTTTTGCTCAAATATACAGACTACTTTTATTATTGTTGAAAGAAGAGAAAATTACTTTGAAGTCCAACACAAGAATTTTAACTGTCAAGTCTCATGAAATGCGAAAACAGCTCTCAAGTCCTAAGGTTCTTTTTTTAATATGTAAATATGTTTTAATACCCAATTATCAAAAATACCCTTCTCTACATAATTAATTCCAGCGTATAAGAATTTTGGGATTGGGGGGGAAAAAAGAAAAACCCAGCGTGAGTAAATATGCAAATGGCAATCCACTGCTTTGCCACACAACCTTTTGACCAGAGGAACTGTAGTCCAATAGCTTATTGCTGAGGGATGAGGGAACCCAGGCTAACATCTTTCCATGCAAATACAAAGTCATGTCTTCATGTTTCTCCAAAGCCCTATTCTGGGTGCTCTGGTAACCGTGCCCCCCCTTAAAGCAAAATAAAAGGTAAGAACTGATGCAACCCTACATTGTTTCTTTCGCAGTAACCTCAAGTCTTTTTGTCTTGTTTCTGTCTACTGAACTCTGCACAACAGCCCATGTTAATTCTTTACCTTCATGCATTTAGTAAAAATTTTTACAGAAAAAGGGTGTTACTTATACACAATATTCACAAATGGTCAATCGAACAATTTATCATGAGATTCCATGCTTTAGTGCAGGTTGCTATGAGATGAGACTTGCAATGCAGGGTTCCATTTTTCTAGTTATATTAAAAGATGTATCTCTCATATTTATCTTTATATTCATTCATTCATAAATATATCTAGTCCTAATTACACAAAAGCTTCAGTCTAACATTCTAAAAAAATTATTTGCCAAAAAATTTAATTTCTATACCAAAACCCGTGAACAGTTACAAGCTTGGACCAACATCTCTGAAGAATTTGCATTTGTATTCTAAGATGACGATCAAAATGATCACCACCAGGTGAGGCAACAATGATGCAAGTAGAAAATACAAAAAATTCAAAGATGAACTGAAATTTATTAGAGACAGAAACTAAGCTAGGATAAGCATGTCTTGTAATCAGACGTGAATTAGATTTACCTAAGGACCCCCCCCCCCCCCCACAAAAAAAAAAAGAAGGTGTTTCCAAGCTTCCACAAAAGTCCATTTATTTCCAATTCACTAATTATATCATAGCAGGAGGAAAAGAATAAAGATTCCAAACAGCATTATGATTTAGCAGTGCAAGGCATATTATCAAGAATCCAAGGAGAGATCTTCAAGTTGTCGGATTCCCTGAGTGGAGGCCTTTTTCAACTCAAGGGCTCTCTTGTAAGGAGGGGCAATAGGTGGCTGTACAGGATCCAAGCTCTGATATGTTCCCTCAGCAACTTTGGGTAGTGGATATGAGCGATCAGAATCATACCCACTCAGGTCCCCGCAAGCTAAAAACGGAATATAAACCTTATTTGGTCCTTCCAACCACCCACTACTACAATCTGCACATAAGCATGCGTTTCACAGTCACATGAGATCAACTAAAGAGTAAAGACTCTAGTCTTTATATAAAGAAGAAAACTAAGGTGAACTTTTATTTTGGTCCCCATGGATGAAATTCAAATTCTTATAATTCCCTTCCATTATGATTCGGTTTCACCCAAAATTTAACGCCAAATCTAAAATGCTGTTGACAGGATGTTATTTGCCATCCATTAGTCAAGGTCAAGCCAAATTTAACCATCCAATAACAGCCAAGTCATCCGATTATTAAATTTGATGTTAAACATTATATGCAAATGAAATAGAAAAGTGACAACTATATGTGAATGACCAAATTGAAAGTCCACCCTCTTTTCAAGGGCCAAACAAAATTTTCCTTCGTGCAAAATGGAAGGTAATAATTTCTCAGATTATGACGCTTGAGCATACAAGAGGAGGAATGAGTTTTAGAAGCAGAATTACTTTATACAAAAGCCAAAAGATTAGCTAAAGGGATTGAATATACCTATATCATCAGCCCCTGAGGGGCTTCCAACCTTCTCTAGCAGGCGATGCAAATCTTTGGGATTGAATCCTTCAGGAGGGGAATAGTTTTCGCAAACTGCAAATGCCTCTGGAGGGGGGAAAACTAAGAATGAGTACAAATAGTAACCAACTATACCTTCCTAGCATCCAAACAAAAATAAGCATCGGTGGAGGCACGGAAGCAGACGCTAAACTAAGAAAAGTAGTACAAAGATAGAGACACTAATGAAGCAGATAATGTATAATAGGTTCTCCATTTAAATAATCAGAAGTTCGCATACAAAACTTTCATACATAAAAGGCATAACCCTCAGCTCCTAAGTGATTCCTTCTAAGGGGAAAAAACAAAGAAACCCGTGTCAAAAGTTAAAATAGTAAAAGAAGGTAACCCAGAATTTACCTATGCTAGAATTTCGACTGCTTTTTGGTTTTGCGAAAGTCACTACAGGGAAGAATAACTTCAGCTGCAAACCCACAAACAAATGAATATAACTAAAGAAACATAGGGCATGTAATCATAAATCTAGGTAGACATCAAAACTACTAAATCATTACGGCTATTAAAAACATAATCATGCAACGGAAGAAGATTCTAGGACAATTCAAAAAACAATTGCAATTGGCAGCAGCAACTAGAACTGCACGATAATGTCACAAGGATGGCTGCAATTTCAGATACTTGCATGAGTAGGTTCTTTTAACTGTACAAAAGAATTTTGTACAATACAATCCATTTTGAAAAATACAATCCACCATTACTAGTGCACTTTTCTAATTCTCAAGAAAGTATCTCCAAGCTTTCCCATTTCTAACAAAGTACAACTATATTGATTACTTATCATCTAGTCAGCTCATCTTTTTCCTTAAGAATTCTGGTCGAACTGATGTTGGAGAATTTTACTGAAATCTGCATCTATAAACATGGCGACCTAACTTTCAGAATAACAAATCTCATGGCACTGGATTGCCTATACTTTTTCCAGAGGTTCTTATTCTTCGTTCTCCTTTCTCAGTGTCTATCATGACTCTCAGAGAAGAACATCCATAGTCACCTTCACATGGATGTTGAAAAAGCTATCCAGATAGGTTAGACTGGAGGAAATAAATGCGAAACATGATTCAGTCAATGTCAAATTAAACCTGACAGTATAGGAGGCTTGTGTCTTTTCCTCTAAATATCTTTGCAATAAACTTGCCTCCCTCCTTGAGTACATGAGTAACAATTGTTAAACCCTGCAAGAGGTAATCTGGTAAGTAATAAACTTCAAAATCTAACAAGATTGCCAAGAATGATTACAAAACTGCTAGCAAGATGAGGAATAAATCCTTTAGCGATTACACACGGCCCAAAACGAAGTGCTTCTTAGGAAGAAAAGTTGTTTGATTGAAAACAAAGAATAAAACATAATCACACACTTTACTTGCAAGAGAGTAAACAGGAATGAATAAAAATTGAGTCATCAGCATCCATCTACCATTCAAATATTATTTTTATTTCCAATTTGTGATGAGTTATCAAGGCAGCAAACAAAAACCCCCCCAACTCCACCCCCCCCCCCCCCGGGGTTAAAAAAAGAACAATAAAAAATTTGATTACAAAATAAAGAGATTTCATGGAACCCAAACCAAAACAAGAAACTGAAACATACTCTGCTATAGACTCAGCTAAATAAAACAGAAAGACAAGCGATTACAGCAGTTCTCGCAAAATATAAACACACACAAGCACAGAAACAACAAACTACAAGGAAAAGAAATCCCTCCCCAGGCTTTCAAAAGGCTTGGACTTTTTCCTCAACACTAGCCAAGTTCTTTCTTGCTTCTCTTAAACCGCAAAACTCCATAAAAATCTCCAATCACAAACACACTCTTATCCATCTCACCACACTCATACCCCAGCTGAAACTCACAGAACACAACTCTCCCTTCCTACTGGCCAATCCCTTGTACCCTTTTTTGTTTACATGCTCTTCCCATAGGCCTTTAGCCTCCTCAGTCAAGAAGTTACGACTCCATCATTAACTGGCCCTCCAAGCTTCACGTTATCCTCAAGGTGAAAATTAGCAATTGAAAATGATTGCTTCTCTTCAATATTAACGTTATTTCCTGCAATCCTTGCTGTAATACCAGCAGAACATCAGGCTCAACTGTTTCTTTAATAAGAGGAAGAACAAGAGCCTACCAACAACTCCAATCCAAGAATACCTAGAAACAAGAGCGGGATCTGTATCGGAGAATCCCTTTTCCAAATGGGCAAGGGCATACAGCTAAGAGCCTCACTTGCAAATTGGTTTTCCGTAAGCTTAAGATAACTCCTAGGTTCTTCATCAAGGGAAACAACCTCACCTTTGGACGTGGTCACCAAAGATGATGAGTCAAGTATTGAAGGGCTTCCCAAACCAATACCAAGAAATTCCAGACCACACTCTCAGTGAATTTATTGATTTCATAAATCTGTTGTTTCATGTTCAGAGGATCAATGTCATCATTAAGCCAATCAGCGATTGATGCCAAAAACTTGCCTGCTAGACCACTAGCTCCACCATGATATTTCAGCTTCTTTAATTAAATCATGGCTTTCAGGTCAAAAAATTAAATCATGGCTTTCAAATATAGACCCCAATTCCGCCTGATTTGAATCATTTGGGATGTCATAGATATATACACCATCCAAAAGGATGTGATTCTCGAGAATAGAAGTTTATTGATTGGAATCAAAGGAAAACATCATTCATACATTTCCAGCAAGAGAATATAGAGGATTGAATAAAAATTGAGTGGTCAGCATATATTCACCCTTTCAATAATATTTTGATTTCCAAATTGTCATGAACTATCAGGATAGCAGACCAAAAGAGGGGGGAAACATTAAGAAAGCTGTTTACAACAACAGTTTAAGTACTTACTGCTAGTATCAATTGAGACTGAACAAATTCATCCATGTCATGAAGACCTGTAACTGCACGAAAATATGGAACAAATCTTAGTTTCCTAGTCTAAACATAACTATACATATTACACATTAAAACATTATGAAGTCAAATTATGAATGCTTCTTACCATCGGGAGCACCATCACATACAACCAGGTCAGCCTTGCAACCATCAAAATGTCTAATGACCTGAAGAAAACAATTCAAATGACACTTTCATATACTTGGGTACAAAAGCCAATTGAAGAAAGTCAGATTGGTTGGCGATAAGCAGCATTGAAGGAGCAAGTTCTATACTTTTAAGCTCCAACCGATTCCTAGAGGGTGAAAATATAAGATAAAAGGATCATTTAAAGACCAGGTCAAATGCATATGACTTTGAGTGACCATACTAAGGAACTACAACAATGTACATAATTGCATTTTGTGCACAATTGCACTGAGTTTCTTTCAATCCGATAGCTATCTTTTGTTTCTTTACTGCATTTCTACCATCATGTTTTCTTCTCTCCAAGAAGAAAAGAACAGCAGAAGGGAGTTGCGAGTATGCAGTTGGTATTCAAACAAACCAGGAGCAATAAGTATATGATTTGATGATATAAAAATATAAATATACAATCGCAGATAAATGATTTAAACATATGAATTCACAATCTATACATATCCTTCAATAATGGATTCTAACCCAAATAGTTCAGAAGCATAATATCTTCAGTATCATGCATTATCCACCCGCCCCCAAAAGAAAATCATTTATATCTAAAAGGAAAAAGGACAAGCAAAACATGAACTTCTTAATAAAATTCTATGATATAAATGCGTGATTATTAATATGTCTTCCTATTAAAAATAAAAGGATACATCAAAATTTCGAGATAATACTGCTGTACATACCACTTCAGCTGTACGGGCATTAGTTATATCACCCTGCACCTGAATAACACCTTCAATAGGAGCCATTGGCTGTAGATCAATAGCAACTATGAGAGGAAGATCATCATCCCTGCATATCATGGTGTAGCAAGAGATTTATGTTCTTGACAGAATGACATCAATGATAATCAAAAAGTAGCAATGGATATTTTTGAAGATAAATTTCATGATAAACAAAGTTAGTCCACAAGTTTAAAACTTTTGAAGGGGTCAATGACTTTTTGATGGTCACTTACAAAACATCAGATTTGCATAATAACAAAATGTTCATGAAATTTAAATCCAATGGCTGCTAATACTGTCAAAACCAACTAGTTTGTGACTGTACCTTAAACAATTTAAGTTTTTAGGCAAAGGAACAAAACTGTATATAGCTTATGAAAAATATATATAGATACACAATGTATCAATATTCAATAGTCAAATGCAAAGATTAATTATATGATAGTGATACATATAGAGCAATTTTATGTGTCGCTTATCCTCAAACTCATATTTCTGTTTTTGTAATGTTCAATGCATAAATGCTTAATAAGGATACCACGGTTGATAATCCTTCTGCACTGTCAATAATGTTGACACTTTCATGCAAAAGCTCATCAGTGGGAAGGTGAAATGCTTTTAGGCCGTGATTTATGCCATGGTTCATAATTCATATTTGTAAACTGGTACACTGAAACGTTAAAATCAAGGAAATCCTAAAGAAAGCAAAGAACTTTATGAGAAAGTGAACTTACTTTGTATCAGGTGCAAGTTTTGCTGGGAGATAGAGTTTACGGCTCAAAACCTGAATAAAGGAACTAGGAATTATCCAGTGACTAAGATGAAATCCACATGAGATCCGAAAATGCACATGCATGACTCAAGACTTTTACATCAATGTTCTAGCACCAATGATGTATCTTCATCTCCAACGTGGATTGTGCTTCCCATTCATAATAATGTCAAACATTATTCAGCAAATCTTTCGTTTTTAGATCAGTCAATGCTTTTCCCCTTAACCTAGCATATTGATCTAGTAAATCTGGCTCTTTTGGTTGTATCCTTCATTCACCCTCGATCAACAGTGTTCTTTTAGCATACAGGAAAAGAAAAGAAATTACGATCATTGATTGTTTATTGTTCCCTATCTCTCTTATGCTCAATATTATCATATTTCTAATCAATAGTACCTGACTCCAACTACCAGGGGCAGCGCATAGATCTACCACCCGTTTCACCCCTGCAAAAGAAATTGTAACTGTAAGCCAAGAAAGGGAACTTGTGCCCATAGATACAGCTATACAGATACACATGCACACAAGTGTGTGTATGTTGTGCTGTTAAGTTGTGAACTACAAAACTCACTAAAACTTCCAGTTATTTGCCAGTGCTTGATATCTATTCCTATCTAACACTAATCACATTCTCAGCCTCAAATACAAAACAGCGGGAAATCCTTCTGATCATTCGTTTGTTTCTCCAAAACGTTAAGAAAAACAAGCAAACAAAAACTTATTGTGGCAGGATATTCGAATTTGACCCCCAAGGAACGCACCTTCAAATATGTTGAATTCCTCATCTATTTGAAGAAGTTTAAAGGCACTTCGAGCACGCCAACCTTCCTCTTTAGCTTTCCGGTAATAGATGTCCTGTTAAAAGAAGAGGGAAAAAATCCAGCTGAACACGAAGAAGCAACAAAGTAAGAGAACATAATCAGAGAGATATATATCAGTATACCCTCTTGTCCCTTGAAGCCTTGCCCATGGCTTTTAGTTACTGCGTTATCAATTTTGTATTTGAAAATGCCTCCTTTCACCAAGAATACTCGCAATGTTAGTATTCCACGAACCCGCCAAATATTAAGGGCAATCAAGCTTAGTTTGATAAAAATAAAAGATGATAGAGGGAAAGGATGAAAGAGTTAAAATTTAGCTCGTCTGCGATTTGTGAGGTACAGTTCGTTTGAAAGTTGAAACGCAGGCGCGGCGCTGTATAAGCTCCTGCCTGGGCTCGCCTCATCGCTAGGTCCAGCAAGCTTGAGCATTAAATATGATTTGAAAAAAAAACTTTTTTTTCTTTCTTAAAAATTTAACCCTCTCATCAATTTCTTCTTTTTCTTTCTCGATACAACTAGGGGTGTTCACAGAACGGAACGGGACGGGACCGGGACAGGCCCGTCCCGGTGAACAGGGACGGGACAGGGTTTTAGTCCCGTGTCCCGTCCCGTTCCCCTCCCCTTTTTTTTTTTAAAAATACTATAATTTTTTATATGAAATTTTTTATGTTATAATGCTTATTTTTTGTTAGGCTTTTAAAGATAAAAACATTATAAAAAATATTATGTAGAAAACTCAATTATATAGTATAAAAAAGGTGTAAAAACAATACTGTAAAAAAAAAATACGATAAAAAAAATACTATATAATGGCTTTATGAATTATTTTATTGAGGAAGGAGATATTGTTCAGATAATATTACAACTTAAGAGTTAAAAATCACTATAATAATAATTATTATTAATAATAAGTAAATTGAATAATCTAATAATAATTATTAATAAATAATTTTTTTTTAAAAAAATATCCCGGGACGAGACGGGACAACCCCGTCCCGGTCACTGTCCCGTCCCGTCCCGAATTTTTTTTTGTCCCGTCCTGTCCCGTCCTAAACTCACCAGAACCAGGACGGGATGACCGGAACGGGACAAATTGAACACCCCTAGATACAACGGAAAGAATCAATTTCTTCTTCTCTTATAATTTTATTTTGTTTATTTGAATTAGTCATGGATCAATCTTTTTTTACACCTTGATGGATCAATCTTTTTAGTCCTTACAGGATATTTAGGTCAAAGGTTGTTCTGTTATTATTTGATCAAGTTGACTTTTGTTGAATTAATCTTTCCTTGTTTTTTCCCCCGAAAGAAGACTTGGGTTCAAGTATAGCTTGAGTTTTACCCAAAATTAGTGTCTTCAAGAAAAATGAAAATTAAATCTCACCATTCACAGTTTAAATTTTTAAAATCTTATTTTTTAGGAGAAAATTAGAATCTTACATTAGATCCTCCTTACGCCAATGGACATGGCGTGAGATCTAACATTTTTATCATTATCTTACGGATTATGAAAAAAAATCAGTTTATGTATTATACATAAATTTACGGATTTAAAAAAAAAAAACGAATTCTAAGCAAAGTGAAACCTGGGCAGTTCTATTGTTCCCTTGTAACTTTCATTTTTCTATAAATAAAAATATTTTTTTAAAATTATATTCCCATTCTTATTTTAAAAAAAATTATGGGAGAAATCTCAATTGAATCCAGTAAAAATATTTAAATTCAAATTGAGGCATACACTTCTAATAAATTCTTAATCAAGACATTAGAACTAATTAGGGATTGTTGAATGTTGTTAAATGACCAAACGCTCTTCTTTAATTAAAAATGAAATTTGATTATTTTATCTTTTTAAAGTGGTTCGTCATCTCTTATTATTAATATTTAGACAAGAAATATAAATAATTTTTTAGTATTTGAAATTTTGTATATATAACGAAAACCTTCAAAATATTTTCGTAAAACATCTTAAATTACAATATAAGTAGTCTTTAAATAAATATTTTTTTCTTTTTAGATTGCAAATATTTATTTTAAGATTTTAAAATGTTTAGTTATAAATGTAATAATTTAGATTTTCGGTTGGATTCAATATTGCTTAAATAAATAAAACTAACATAAATTATAAGAACAAAGAATAAAAGATATTTATTTAAAGGTTACTTATATTTGTAATTTAACGTCTTATTAAAATATTTTTAATCGTGTAAGTTATATGTACAAATTTAATTACTTGTATGTCTTTTAGCCTGAAAAAATGATCATAAAGAATGAGGGATCACTTGAGACTTGAGAGGGGTAAGAAAGAAGGGCATGCTAGTTAGTTTACAACATTAAAAAAATTCCTAATTAGCTCTAAATTTAAATTTAGATATTTTAGCTGAATTTAATTGGGATTCTCACAAAATTACATTCCCATTTTTATTCGCAACCAACACTTATCATTAATGATTTCAACTTATTTTAAAATTTAAATACCTAAATTTTATCCTGATATTACTTCGTTATAATGAGAAGAAACAAAAATTGGAAGCACTTATACTAAGATCACGCATATGAAATGAAATGCAGGTGATAGAATTAAAATTTAAAAAATTAAGAATAAAATTAGTACTTGGATTTCTAAATTAAAAAAAGTAAAAATTCTCATAATCTAGCATAACACGTATGATATTATTTGCCGAGGCAAAATCATTTCCCTCGTTTGAGCAATACCAACATCCAGGCATGTTTGGCAAACCAACAATTATGTGAACTAGCAAGACCCGTGACTAGAACATGACTATAAGCTTAAACAAGTAGAGTCGAGAGGGATATGAATAGATTTGACAACGAATAGCAGAGTAACAATATCAGAAATAGATAGAGCTGGGAAAAAAAAAAAGTTAAGTTAAAATATTACATTTGACAAATTTCATCAGATAAGGTCCAATTCAAATCTAATATCTAATCGCATAAATATAATACAAAAATATTAAGAATGGAAAGCCTCAAATGTAGATAGCAGGTTTGGAACGCCTTGAAAGAAACCCCAAAATCAGCTTCCACTGACAGCAGGGATTGTAACTGGCTTTGCATCTTCAGCTTTCTCATGTTCCTTGTTCAGCATCTGAAAATCAAATAGTTCAGTTAGAAGTTAGAACGATGTACAGATATCACACCAACCGCTTAAGCCTTCGTAAGAGATGAAAACTCACCTTATTATTAATCAAATTGTGAAGTGCAATGACGCTCCGGATCAGAGAAGAAAGATAAATAACCAGCATCATGTCGTTTGTTTTCACTGCAGAGGTACAAATGAACATGCATTATTATTGCAATCACACTGGTAGACCCAAGGTCAAAAGAAACTAGCAATTCAAGGGCATACATCTTTTCCTTTCAATCTATTCTAGGCTAGAATGTAACTTCTCCTCCATGTGCGCTGGGCTTTTAAGGCAACCACTATTTCTTCCTTAAGAAACACTATTTCTTATATCTAAAGAGACTCGAAAGATCTCAACTGAGTTTGACAGGAGCTTTGTGCATTGGGTTTCGAGCATTTTCCATTAGGTTTAACTTGGAAGGAATCTTCTGGCCAAAAAAAAGGAAGGGATCTCATCTCCAAAAAGATGCAACTTCTTATTATTATTTTTTTTTTAATCAAAATGGGTAAGAAACTAGCATAATCAACAATAAACCACCTGTTATGTTGTAATGAAGACTCAAATAGAAAACGGCTAAAAACTACACTTAATTCAATCCTTCCACATTAAGCATGTAATACCTGCAAAGGCCTTGATTAACTCTGAAACGTTGAGATTAGGAAGGAGGTTGAACACATCCTGCAATTTGTCAAGTGCACAAGAGAACTCTATGAGACATGATTGTTTCGTGCAAGTAGTTATCATGGATAAAAAATTTATAAGATCAACAAGCATATATGAGGCACAAGCCGTATGACCAAATAAGAAAACATTTAACTAGGTAAATTTTGACATGGACAGCAGCCATTTAAAACCAGAACAAGCAAGTCACATCACAGGATAAAAATTAATATCTAAGACAGTTCTTCAGATAAGCTTTTGTACATGCACCCGCCTATAAATTCGACATACTCTATTTTGTTTTTTGTTTTTTATTGGGGGATAATGAAAAGGAAGAACACCAACAAAGATTTCAGTTTTAGATAATACAAAATGTAGTTAGCATTATTGCAAATTTAAGTGATTCCTTGTACCTGCAGATGGTAAAGTATCTCATGGTTCAACGGAAGCTTCCCATCAATAACCAGATCAAGGTAACCCCGTATCTCTTTTAATCTAGCATCTAATCCTTTTAGCGCAGTAAGTTTACCAGAAACCTGAACAAAGTAGGCAGTTTGTCAGTTCAAATTCTATATTAAGCGGATTAGATTGCACACACTGAAGTTTGGAACTATGATTGGATTGAGGAGAATGGAAGGTTCAATTCAAACCTTCCCCTTGGTTTAGATCCAAAACAAACCTCCCCCTTCGTTTACTTCTCCATTCCTCCTTCATCATTCTCCTCCTCAGTCCAAACATACCCTAACTCTCTAGTTGCTACTGAAGAAAGTATGATTGAAAACAAAATAAACTGCACGAAATGACAATGGAGAGGGAAATGCGAGATTGGAACCTCAGTTGCAAGCGTACTGATGGTCGTATCTTTAACATCCCTCAACAAGTGTTCAACTCCTGCACAAAAGTAATAATATATTAGAACTCAGATTGAATAAGGATAGAAACTTAGATAAACTCAGCATCCGTCTACGGAGGCTGATTGGCAAAGATGTGCTAAATGCTAATAGTGAACTGCAATTTTTATATCTTAGCATACCAATTTCCTCAACCTCATGAGCAGCAATTTCTGAAGGCACGTGAACAAAAACCTTCTGGCTCTTTTGCGTAGCATTCTGTTGTGATACATAAACATTAGCCTTTATTAAGGAAGTATTTGAAGGGGGAACAAAAGTAATAAAACTTGAAATCTTCAAACCCCATGAGAAGTGTATCATAATGCAAATCATTCATCACTATATAAAGCTTTCAGGTATCACCATGTAACTCTTACCTCCTTTACTTCTTCAACGTCATAATAAGCCTTGGTAGGTATCCCTAGCTCCTTAGGCTGGACATCAATGATGACCAGCACAGGATTTGGGACATAGCTAGCATAGGACAAAGAGATAAACAAATGAGGAAAACAATCTTCTAGAGTTTGACAGGAAAAAAAGGTCATATGCCAAAATGCTTTACAAGTAAGGACAGCTAGCTTTCCATAGAAGTACTGAGCACCCAGAGAGTCAAGTAGATATAATTTATTTGATGCAATTTCTTTCAGAGAAAATCATATATTCTTTACCAGCAATCCTTAGCAGATGAAGATACACGTTCTTACTTGTGGAATAATCTGTGAATGTCAAGATCATTCTCCCGTAGCTTTGGGCCCGTACTATACCATCCCACAACATGCTCCTTGGCTAAAAATGATCGCAGTAAAACACGTTATTAGTGTGAATGACATTCCTCAAAATCCCAAGACAAGAATTGTCAATGCAAGATTACCATTTATTCTCTTGAACATAGAAAACATGGATTCATGGTAATTGTGGTCAAGGAACCAGATGCTTGGGTCCTTGTCATCTTCCTCAAATGGCACTGAAATTACAAGATCATTCATATTAATGGATGCTCAAGAATTACAGAATTCTAGAAAAGGAAAATGTACTGAAAATAATCTCTAGACAATATGACCTTCATGTACAAATCAATTAAAAAAAGCAACAAATCAAGATTCATACACAAGAATGGCCAATAGCACAATCAAATCGCAACAATCAATTATGTCCAGTCTTAGAGTTCCTAGACCTAGCAGTAGTCTGCTTACAGCACTATTTGGGACTGGCACGTCCATACAAGAGTAATCACAAGCAGATTCCTATTCATCACCACTTCTGAACTAAATTTTCAACAACCATTCTACACCGGTTCCTCAATATAAGTAGAGGAATCAACGTAATTATGACTATCCTCATGATCACCCTTCCACATGAACACCGTGGGGATATTAAGATAGCAATACTCAAAAGTAGAGGGGTGCTGATCCTGTCATTTATTGCTGAGTTTTATTCGACAAAGTACTCGGTTAGAAGAGGACCGTCCTAACGCATTTTGTATTGTCCGAGTCCTAATCACCAATCTTAGTGTGCCAACACAGCTACTCAAGTGTTTACAATTGCATTAAATATTTCTTAGATTAATAATAACAGTCATACTCGCAAACCTAACCCTAATTCTCTTCTTAGTTGGCCAACAAAATTTCAAATCAATACTAGTTTTCGCTCCCAGAGTTTTAAATTTGCAAAATTTTACCCTAAAAATATAAAAACAATCAAATCTAGAAGTCAAAATCGGAAATTTCAGCAAAGGGAACTCACCTGCATAGCTGTTGCTAACATCGACGGTGCCCTTAAATGAACTACCAAGCAAGACGCCGACGACACGTTTGCGCGTGTCCTTGGCGACCCGATTGTAGTTATCGACGATGCTGAGAAGAACCAGAGGATGCACAATGACCTTCTCTATGGGCCTGGATGAAATTTGCTGAGATTTTATCACGTCCATCGCAAAAGTATCAGATTTCTCGCTCTCGCCTCCTAAACCCTTCTAGCCTTCTCTTTCCCTTCTTCCCGTCGGCCCCTGTTCTATTTCTATTTTTTACGAGCAATATAAAAATCAAGTTATAGCTCCAGAGCTCCGCTTTTCAGCTTTACGCCCAAAAAAAGAAAGGTTTTTAAAAAATTTTAGCGGTGAGAATAAATTTCAAAAATAAAAATAAAATATTGATGATAAAATTATTTTTTTAAAAAGTGTCTTTTTCATTTCAAACACATTATACTTTTATTTAAAATAAGGCCTAATTTTGATAACAAATATCCCACGGATTAAGAGTAGCAAGGACAGTTTAGAGTGTATAAAGATTAGATTCATTTTGGCGAAAACACGGATCCAAGCAAACCAATTGTTTTGGATAAAAAGACATACGATCTGTTCCATTCGATATGAAAGAGTTTGATTCAGTTTAATTCAAGTTAAATTGAGACAGACTAAGAATTGAACCAAATCAATGGATTTTTACAGCATAAAAATCGAGTCAGAACCTTTTCTTGGTTGATAAATAAGCGCTTTAAAATTTTTTGGGGTAAAAAAACCAAATTAAATGCTTTTACATTTTACAATAACAATCAACAAGGAAAAAAAAAAAACAATAGCCACAAAACTTGTAGCTCAATTCTAATCCTCATAATCACAATATTTGGATCCTTTAGTATATTTTGACGATTCTTCAAATTCCTTACCGTTTTACTAGCCGGGCAAGTTTTGAAATCTTGATCGGATTCCAAACCAAGTGATCATCTTCATACGATTATCACCAAAAATAAAAACAGATCATCTTCATCCGAATCTTGCTTTTCTTTACTATTTATCCAAACGGACCGACATATATTCCTTTGTATTCTTGCCTCCTCTGCAAGTCTTTTATAATATAACCCCTTTTCATGGAGCAATCAGCATCCATTAAAATTCCCTCCCCAGATGAGCCTATCTTCTTTGCTAAAGCGACGAGGTAATGGGGATAAGAGAAAGATGCACTTATTCAATTGGCCGAATTATTTGCACGTTCGGGATAATTGAGGATTACTGATTCAAAGTACTAGAGATTTTTTTTTTTCATAACTCTTTCAACTCTCCCTTCTTCTTCTTCTTCTTCATGGAGCAATCAGCATCCATTAATGGAAGGTTGAAACCTACCAAGTCAATATTTCTCTTGCTATTCATCAAATATAGAAACTCGTCCGGCCACTAATTGAAGGGGCTGTAGATTTTTTTTGTCAATTAAAATTAGTGGGTTTACTGAGGGTCGCGTGTGGAGTTAAAATGTTATCATAATTAATCTAAAATTTGCTTTGGGAGCTGGAGATAAATGAGGAAACTGGTCTAACCCGGTCGCCACCATGGAAGGAGCAAAGGTCTTTTTTGTTTCTTTGAAGTCCTTTCTTTAAAAACAACCAACGTTGCGTTTTCCAAAAATGGGAGATGAAATGGAAAGAATTAGGAGGGAATAAGTAACAATAACATTCTAAACATCAAAATCTAATTAAATTATTAAATTTTTGTGTATATAAAAATATCATGTATAAATTTACATAGTACATTCTTTACACCAAATAAGTATTAATTAATTACAACTAAATCAAATATAGAAAACTTTAAAGGCAAGTACAGATTGTAGACAATAGCCTTATGGAGTAGTGCTATGAAAATTTCTATACGGGCAACTTCCTATAATTACTTAAGGGAAGTGTTTTCAGCAAAATTATTCTTATATATTTACTTCATATACTAAAAAATAACTTGTAAAAGGTTAATTCAAAATATGGAAATCATAGAATCAATCTCGCTTGTATTATTAAGAGGCTAATATCTGCCCTTCTAACAGTAAAAACAAAACAAGAGAAGTTAGTTCAAATAATTACCCGAATTAGAACATTTCATTTGGAGATCAACTTGATTTGAGACAACTAAATTTCAAACTTTCGACTCATGAAAAATCCAGCCTCATAGTAGGTGAATGATGATTTTTCCAGGAAAGACCAAGCAGAAACTTGCTTATGCACTACAAATTAATTGTCACTCCAGAAAGGAGGGTTGATTTCAGACATTCTTCAAAAAATCCTTAGATGCACAGAAAACCTGGTAAACTTTGAGGCAAAAGAACGCTACTTCTAAATTATGACCTTGCTTGTGCACTACAAGTTGACAATGGAATGACAAGAACTCAGGACCGCTTTACTTGGCTACCAATGGAAATGTCAAAGGAAAGTTTGACGTCCTTCAATATTAGCCTTCGAACTTTTTACTGTTTTTACATAAGAATGACCATTGTCGCTTACAACATGGCATACCATCCCCATATGCACACATTTTACAACAAAAAGTCGTTAACCTCGAATCTCATGATTCCTTCACCATAATAACCAGCATCCAACCAACTCAGGACCTTATAAACTTATATCACTATGCACATTCAACCTGAGCTGAACAACACACAAAATAGCACTGCCGTTGATCTCACTTCACTCAGCGAAATTGCACTTCGGCATTTGTATAGCAATTCTACAAGTTTCAGCACTACGTTTTAGTCTCCACAAACTCTAGTTTCAGAAATGTGTGAAACCATATAGCAAAAGAGAACTGTGAGCTAGTAAGGTAAAATATGGCATGCTGCCTGTCAGTGTTTTAGCCTTCGGTTATCTAGGAAACAAAAAGGGGCATGGAAGATCACCGCTGATAATGAAATCAACTCTTGAAAATTTTCAGAGAAGGAATGACTTGATATAAACAAATAGATGAATGAAAACTGACCCCCTTAATTTTTACACCAACAATTACCTACTTGTACGAAACTCTCTAAGAGCAGTTGTACTTTAGAGGAGCTCGATCCTGGTTACCTAACATCCTGGTAAAACAATGAGTTTGAATAACTTAATCAAGATCGCATCTGAAGAACTTTTTGGCATGTATAATGGCAGCAGAACGGGTTAAGATAAGATCCCAAACATCTGTTCACCTGCAAAGCATACTTCTTCCAACAATGTTTGTCTACGACCTAGTTTCAAAAGAAGAAGAAAGAAGGTCTAGTTACTGGAACTTTACATAACAAGAAAGCTTAGCTTGTACACTGTAGGCACCAAACTACCAGAGCTCTAATAAGGAAAGATTCTAGTCATTCAATGATACTTCAGAGAGCAATCGGTGAGTAGCAGTACGCAGACAAACCCTGTCATCCCCCCCTGCCAATGATATGCTCATGTTTTAAAGTTTAGCAGATTGATTTACAGCTCCAAATAGTGGTGTGCTAAACTAGAGTGGCAGACAAAGTCATTTGTATTATGCTAAAACAGAGTAGTATTTTAAGCAATTAATAGACCAGAAATGACTTCAATTTCTGGTTCCATAAAAAATTCTCCCACTCACAAGTTTACGTTTGCCATCTGGGCCTAATACAATCGTCTTCCTTCCTTTATTCGAGTTTGGAACTGGCTATAAAATATTGGCAGAGATATAAAACAAACATCATCGGGAACAAATTATCTTGTAAGTATAAAATCATCGGTGACACGCTGATAGAATTCGAAGCCATACCTAAAATTGCAGTTTCCAGGGAGGAAAAGTCTCTGGCATAATGCAAAAGGGTCTGTTGTAAGGTAGACCGACCACGCTCAACTAAATAAAGCCGGTTTGAGATCAAATTCTCATATCCATGACAATTCTTTGATCACAAAACTGAAATCGCGCCGGAAGAACAAGAACTCTCCCACACTTCAATACCTTCAACTTCTTCTCTGCTAATAAACAACCTGTTCCCCCCACCATCGATCTGCTTAATAATCCCTCTCCCTGAATTCTCTATTTTATCCACGAAATTTCTTCTATACAAACCCTCAGCATCTCCACCAGCTACTTCTGCGCCATTTTTCATCCCTTCGAGTCTGGACCAAACCTCTAAATCACCCTCTCTCCCGACAAACACCTGCTTCCTGTAACAATGAATCACACTGCTGCTAACTCCCCCGGTGTTCACCAAGCTTGGGTTCCTTTCATGCAAATAAATCCACGGGTCCTCTTTTAAATGCCGCATGTCCGCCATTGCCAAATCCCCGGATTGAGAGCAGAGCTTGAACAAAGCCAAGCCTTCCACGTCGACGTCCACGCACGCAAACGAATCCCCAAACCTACTGCTTCTACCTGCACCCGGCTCATTCGTCTCCCACACCACCTCGCCGGACCGAGGGTCCCACAATCTGATGTAGCCAGAGTATCCAAAAGCCCCGCTCGTAACTGCACTTCCGACAAGCACGCCGGTCTGGGGTACCCACGTCAGCTTCCCAGGAACCGTATGCTTAGCCTGATTACCAGATTGTCTAGCGAGCTGAGACACGATCTGAAGCTTTGTTTTATCTACTTCAAGGACACAATTCTCTCTATGCGGGCAATCAAACGCGGCAAAAATGGAACTCTCTGAGCCAGCTATTGCGTTGACTCGGGCCTTGAAGATACGGGGATCAGAAGGATCAGTCCACTGAACCGTCCCGATGTTGCGCCCATGGGAGAAATCGTAGAAGTGTAGTCCGCGTTGGATTCTGACCCTATAGCCGCAATTTCGGCCAGACACGGCAAATCGAATCAATTTCGTCTAGATGAGTTCGAATGGTGCATGAGTGGCTGAGATTCCAGTCGTAGCAAGAAATCTGACCACCGTGGGCTATCCAAATGGATCCATCGACCTCGGCGGCGGTGAAAGTGGGAGACAAGCCGTCGGACGCCGGTCGAATTGTTGCGGTGGTAGAGGCGTCGATCCCATCCAACGGTGACGGCGCCATGGCCGACCTGAGCTGGGCGTCGATGCCGTAGTAAAGGGCTTCATCGGCGAGTTCTTGCTTGGAGAAACGACGAGCGGTAGAGGGGAGCTGATTGGTGCGGAGAAGAGAGACGAGAACGGAGAAGATCTCGGGGTCGCGGTCAATGAAAACAGGGTGGTTATCGCCGGTGTCACGGAGGGAGAGAGCGGTGAGTAGGGAATCCGAACCACCGGAACGAAGGGTGGACAAGCGTCGTCTCGAAGAGCTTCCCGCCGACGTTGAGCCTGATACG